TCAAAGCCTACATGTTTCCTTGGTATTATGCTCCAGAGGTCTTCCCTCATCCGTAATTATATCCTCCATGTGGCCCTGCCTGAACCACACCAAACTATTTAAGAGCACTACTGAATTCATAATTTCCTGCCCTTGTACCTTTGCTCATGCTGTTCCCTCTGCTTGGATTACTCTTTCCCCTTCTTAGCCGGTGGAATACATGCTTATCTTTCAAGACCCAGGCTGAGCACCACCACCTCCATAGAAACATCCCTAATTTTCAGTCACTTTTCTTATTTGCTAGATTCAGCCTTGAATGAAGTTTGTTTATATGTATATCCCTACTGCCCTCTGAAAGCAAATGCTTCTAAAGGCAGAGAATGTTTTGTTCCTCTAGTTCCTTGAGGAACTAACAATACTAGGTACTTAACAGAACAAGTTTACTCTCCCATTTCCTTCGATTTGTCATTTTGAAGTTCAACTCTGAGGTTTTTAAAGTAAAATTATTTTTAAAATTTTATTTATTTTTATTTTTGGCTATGTTGGGTCTTCGTTGACGTTTGCGGGCTTTCTAGTTGTGGCGAGCAGGGGTTACTCTTCGTTGCGGTGTGCAGGCTTCTCATTGCAGTGGCTTCTCTTGTTGCAAAGCACGGGCTCTAGGCGTGCGGGCTTCAGTAGTTGTGGCACGCAGGCTCAGTAGTTGTGGCACGCAGGCTGTAGAGCACAGGCTCAGTAGTTGTGGCGCATGGGCTTAGTTGCTCCGTGGCATGTGGGATCTTCCCGGACCAGGGCTCGAACCCATGTCCCCTGCATTGGCAGGTGGATTCTTAACCACTGCGCCACCAGGGAAGCCCCTAAAGTAAATCTTGCATGGAGAAATGTCACTGAATTACCAGTGTTCCATTTTGCTTTGAATAATTTGCATGCCAGGGGTTTCTGTAATTCTTTAAAGCAGTGTTGTGTAATAGAATTTTTTGTGATGATGCTAATGTTTTACATGTGCACTGACTATTATGGTAGCCATTAGCCACACATGGCTGCTGAGCATTTGAAATGTGGCTAATGCAACTGAGAAACTGAATTTTAAATATATAGTTTTAATTAATTTAAATGTAAGTTTACATAACTACATGTGGGTAGTGGCTACTATATTTTACAGTGTAACCCCAGAGGGTATTCTCTGGCTTTTTTTTTTTTTTTAATCAATTATTTATTCGTTTATTTATTTTTGGTTGCATTGGGTCTTCGTTGCTGTGCGTCGGCTTTCTCTAGTTGCGGCAAGCGGGGGCTACTCTTCGTTGCGCTTTGTGGGCTTCTCATTGCGGTGGCTTCTCTTGTTGCGGAGCACGGGCTCTGGCACACGGGCTGCAGTAGTTGTGGCGCAAGGGCTCTAGAGCGCAGGCTCAGTAGTTGTAGCACATGGGCTTAGTTGCTCGGCAACATGTGGGATCTTCCTGGCCCAGGGCTCAAACCCATGTCCCCTGCATTGGCAGGCGGATTCTTAACCACTGTGCCACCAGGGAAGTCCTATTCTCTGGCTTTGAGATGGCTCCCAGTCTGGGGATTTTTCTGGTGGGGGAAAGGTAGGGGTACATGCGTTAATTTTGCCTTCTTTTAAGGCACAACTCCAGAGTGACTGTGAGAATCCTGGAGTGTAGTCAGTCATTTAGCCACAGAACTGCAGCTGGCTGGCATTGCTACCTATGGAAAAGAACCAACAGCAGCACCTATAGCATGGTTTGTTGAGAGGAAATGAACTGTTTTTTAATTATCATTGTAGGTTGGAGATCTCATCTATGGCCAGTTTGTGGTTGCTAATAAAGATATGGAACCAGAGATGGTCTGTATTGACAGCTGTGGACGAGCCAATGGAATGGGTGTGATTGGACAGGATGGTCTGCTTTTTAAAGTGACTTTGGGCTTAATTAGAAGGTAAGTCCTGATGCCTTCTGGCTTGCCTGTTGTCTTTTATATTATACCTTCTTAGAAAGCTGACTTATCTGTGGGATTTAGGTTCTTCATAACAATGGCTATAGCTCCTCAAAGTTAAAAATCAGTATCCATTTTAGCACAGTTGTAAACTCATGCATTTAGTCCCATCCTCTATATGTGAATACATCAAATTCGGATGTATTTGGCGTTATAGTTTGTGTTGATATGGAGTCTGGATTTCTCTGCTGGAAGGTTGGTTGTTCCTTATAGCTGATATACTCAGACCAAATGTGAAAACTGGCCTTCCCCCACTTCTTAGTCACTTGTATACAGGTGCAATTTACTATTTTACAAAATCATCAAATTTCTCTTATAATGGAAGCCAAATGAAGCTAGGCTGACATGATCCTCAAGCTTATACAGACATTCACAGAAAGCTCCTTCTTTTCTGTCCTGGTAGATTTAATAGTTCCCAGAAGCAGATTCTTTGTTTAGACCTTTACCTACCCAAAGCTATGCCCTATTAAAGGGCTTTACTCCTAGAGCCACTGAGGTTCAGAGCTATCTTGCATATCTCTTTGCTACTTATTCTGCAGATCTGCAGAATTAGTTCAAGAGATTAAAGAAGTATGTTATTAACCAAGCAGCACCTTTATGTTTTGAAAGAGTCAACACTCCTCTCCAAGTATTGAATTTAATACCAAGGAATAACTTACATGGTCAGGAAAATAAGGTTAAAGTGTTCTCTTAGCACCATAGACAATAAAAAAGCTACAGTTTGAAAGTCAAGAATTAAGGTGCTCTGACAATATGGAGGAAGAACTTTATACATTTTTTGTAAAGTTGGTGACATAGGGAGTTTGATTTCTTTGGAGAGGATAGTCCACCATTGTGACCTGTGGTAAGCTTCTTGGAAGAAAGAAGGCAAACGTTGTCATGTGCCTTGTTCTTGGGATGATGTTGGTGGAGCTCTGAATAACTGTGGAGAACTGCTCAAAAAAGGAGACTTCTAAAGGAAAGTCAGGTCACACCCTGCCACTTTATTAAGTTTCATTTTCTTTCTCTTCCTCACCAGGCTGCTAGCTCCAGACTGTGAAATCCTACAAGAAGTGGGAAAACTCTACCCATTGGAGATAGTATTTGGAATGAATGGAAGAATATGGGTTAAGGCAAAAACCATTCAGCAGACTTTGATTTTGGCTAACATTTTAGAAGCCTGTGAACACATGACAGCAGATCAAAGAAAACAAATCTTCTCCAGATTGGCAGAAAGTTGATCTATGTGGGCTTTTTTATGGGTCAGTTGAGCCAAGAGACTCTGGGTTTCCCTGGGGGGAATGTTTCTCAGGTGAACCTCTCCCCATTAAATCTTCAGAAGACAAGATGTCTTATTAGAGTCCTAAATAAAATATTTTTATTAAAAAGTTACTGGCTGCCACTCATGTTCTTGTGGGTGAGACAAATCATTATAAAGTAATGATGTAGTTTTTTGTTTTTTTACAATAAAGTTTACGAAAAGTTACTATTATGGTTTATTTGATGTTAACTCCCTTAGTTTTGCTAGAGTGCAGCTTCTATAATAAACTGGAAATGAGCATTAAAGTAACAGTTATTTTCTGATGATAGTAAAACATGTTCACCAAAGAAAATGTAGACTACGTAGAAAATATAAAGCAAACAAAAACCACCTGTAATCCTATTGTTTAATGGGTGAGTATGTAACAGCTAACAATTATCGTGTGCTTACCACGTATCAAGTATTGTTCCAAAAGTGTTCTGCATGGAGTAAATCATTTAGTCTTAGTAACTGCAAAGACACTTAACCTCCCAGTTGAAGAAAACTGAGGCACAGACTTTAACTTGGCCTACATTCTCAACTATTTGTGAATGTATATTTTTCAAATTAGAACTACAGGATTATACTTTATATACTACTTTGTTATATACTTTGCTTCAAACAACATTTAATATATTTCTTTCATGATTGCTATTAAAAATTCAATAGTTGTATAATATTTCATTTTCATGTTATAGGATATTTTGGACATGTCTAGTTTTTTGTTGTTCTGTAGATAATACAATGATTAGGATCTCTGATTCCAAGTCTAGCCAAATCTTAACTTTGTTAGGATCATTTCCAGGAAGCCAAACAAAAAACTACCTGCCTGGGTTTTGAAAAAATAGTAGAGGTTTGTGATGGAGAGGAAATTTGCATTTTAAGCAAAGCCTTTAAAGGTGAAAAAGATGATCCAGGTCAGTGGTTCTGGGGTCAGAGACCTCCCTGAGAATATATATGATAAGAGTTACAGACCCTGAAGCCTATCTATAGGAGGTCCCTTTTGGATGACAGAGATTATAGAACTCATTCAATATGTTGATAAAGACCAAGCAGCATTATATATTCCTAAAGATGTTTCCTGAAGACTGGGCCATTTTTAAGTAGTAAACTGATATAGTTTATCAAGTGATCATAGCTGTTGAGGGAATAAATTGTGAAGGGGAGGGGACAGAGCACAGAAGTAACCTTTTGGCTCTTTTGAGATATAGAATACATTTTCTGAATTTGCTAGCAGCTTAGTTATCAAGTTTACTAACCCAAACTGGCCAGAGTAACTGAAGCAACTCTACCTGACTAGGACATGAGAAAAGATCACCGAGATTTAGGTTACCTAACATGCTTGTGTCAGATGCAATGTATTTTCTGGCTCTTTTCAAGTTAGACTTATCAATACTGTGTTTTTGCTTTTCATTTTGACTTGTTAATCACAAGTATATATGAAGAATCTAGTTTGTACAAGGCTCAGAAGGATACAAAGATATTCCCACAAATTGTTAGGAGACTACTTGTTCAGAAGAGAGAAGCCCTCCATGCTCATACTCAGAATAGGGGAGACAGTAGGAGCCATAGATGGAATAAAGTGCTATGGGGGAGCTTAAAGCAGGGCTAGGTTAGGAAAGGCTGATCCTGCAAAGCCTATGTACAACATATTACTTGAGTTAGGGAAAATCAGTATCATCGAGATGGCTGGAGAAAGTCATACAACTTTATGATGCCCGTGTAGTGAAAATTAGACTCAATAGAATAATACTTACTTGATTATTTAAGCTATCTCTAAAGAGTAGGTATTTCACAAATAGATGTACAGAAGATGAATTAACACATCCAAAGCCATGTAGTTTTAGGGCTAATTCATTATGTAAACTTTTAGTTAGTCAACATATATCTGGGCACTTCCTGTGAGCCAGGCACTATGGGAGATACAAAAGAGCATAAAATATGGTCCCTGTTAGTAACTCCTATCCCAGTGAAGAGCCAAGATGTCAAGTAAAGGCAAATGAGTACCACCACCATCCTCTGATCTGTTCTTTGGTCAAGGCAACTCCAGCAACTTCACCTCCGGCAGCTGCAATCTTAGGCTGTCCATCATTCCACTGAGTTCTGAAGAGTATAGCCTTTTCTGGAAGAAACCCCTTTCTTCAATGCTTCAGGCCAGTTTTGAGTCTCAAAGTAAGTGGACAGGATATCAAACACTGTTAGAAAGGTAAACAGAAAACATAGTGACCATACAGAAGAAAAAGAGAACTAGTAAATGACTAATGAGGAAAAAAGTGTTCTGGAATATTTTATTCAACAAACTTACTCTACCACACACGGTACTAGATCCTGGGGAGACAGAGGCAAAGACACAGGCCCTGCTTACCTACAAGGACCTCAGCCTACACTGAGAGATACAGGACTCTGAATGGACAATGCTGCAACAGAGAGGAACACAGTACAATGGGAACAAAACAGGCCCTGACGTGGCCTGGGATGTGGAGGGGAGCAGCCAAGATGCCTGTGAACTGAATCCTGAAGGACAAATAGGAGTTCACTGTTCAATGATAGATTGAAGGCATGGCATTCTAGGACAAGGGAACAATTTCAACTATCTTTAACATAGTTGGGAACCAGGAAGAAAATGAAAACTGCCTCTGAGAGGCCAGAATACATGTCACAAAGTACATACAGTAAAGTCCAAGCACATCAGTCACAGGGGAGACTGCTTCAAGGGCCGTTTATACTGAAAATGCAAAGAAGCAGCAGCAGAACTAATACACGTTAAGCATGGGCCATGTGAGCAGTACCTTGATTGATGGCCAGTATCTCTGAATGATAGTTCTTCCCATTCTGGCGTCTGACCATGTATTCCTGGATTGGTAAGCGAGCAGTCTTGACAGAGTGTTCTTGGGCCTTTTGAAATGTCACCTTCTGTAAATCACAAATATTTTTCTTATAAAAATAATACACAAAGATAGTCTCATTGTAATATGCAGAGCAAACTGTTAAGAATCCTCATGTACCACCACCCCAATTTCCATCTGTAATCATAATTAAATGATAAGTGTATTAAAATTAAGTAGCCTCTGGTAGAATGGAAGAAAATGTAGATAAGGAAAAATGGCTTGTGCAGCAACACCTCACTTATTTGGGATTCATTTATCTGCTGGCTTCCACTCACTACTACTTACAACCAAGAAGGAAATAAGTAAAAAGAGGCACATCTGCAGCCACAATCTGCATCCAAAAATCCAAGCCGTCTAACCAATGAGAGGAGAACACTCCTGGCCCTAACTCAGTAAGACCCAATTCTGGACATCTGGAGTTTTCAGTCATAGCCAATTGGTAGCAGCAAATTAGAAATAAGGGAGACAGGATTCGAGTCAGGTATACCACCAGCAACAAGACAGCATTAAGGTATGACAGCATATAGCCCAATGAAAAGGAAAGGCTCTGAAAACTACAAAAAGAAGGCAGAACTCAAAAAATCCAACAATCTGAGGCCATTTAGTGTCAGAGTACAGTAACTAATGTCCCTTTAAAGATGTCCCTGAGTCATGGACTGAAGTTTAAATTATACTCACTACCTGGTAAGAAGCTCTGGGAAGGTCATCTACCTATTTGTAATTTCAGGATTAAAGGTTTAGATTACTGAGAAAATTAGCATACTTAGGTTTGGAAGGGACCTCGGTAGTTAACTATTCCACTCCAACCACCCATCCAATGTTTGTCTATCCTCTATGAACTTTCCCAGATGGCCTCTGGCTTTAAATGGACAACCCTTGTGACAGGGAGTTCATGCATCCTAGGGTAACCCATTTCAATTTTGATAGCAGCAGTTAATAGGAAATCTTCTTGATATTGAGGCAAATTTTCTATTTTCCCTGAGACTTCCAGTCATCTGTCCTAGTTCTGTTCCCCCAGGGCCACACCAGGCAAGTAAAATGGCCCTTCCACAAGACAGCCATTCAGACACTTGAAGGCAGGGATCATGCCCTATGAATCCTCTCATCTCCAGACTGACAACCTCAGTTCTGCTGACCTTTCCTTGACTATGATTTAGTTTTGAGTCCCTGCATTATTCAGGCCAACCTCTTCTGAACTTGTTCTAGCTTGTCAATGTCTATTCATTTACTGTCCCATATTGACTGGCCACTGTGAGTATGGTCTAACCAACTGGAACAGTGTGAAGCAGGCCTAGCACCTTCTTTGTTCTGACACTGGACTACCTGCCTCTCAGATTCACATGAAACACAATTCCAAAAGAGGACGTCCAAAAATGTTTTAAGTGATGCAATTCAGATGGGATAAAGGTACAGCTACTTAAAGGACTTCTTTGAAGGATAACACTCCTTTGCATATATGAGCTATGATTATGTTTTAAGTCTATTCCTTTATAATCACTCTGAACTGAAGTACAGAATTCAAAGTTAGTAGGAAACTTGGATGCTGCCCTGAAGGAGTTTATAGTCTAGTTTCTGTTCTCTGAACATTTAAAGATAAAATGACTCCCCTTGAAGAAATCTTGTTCTTAGCATATTTCTGTGAAGAAGCCAAACTCTTAAGTAAAAACTAAACAAATCTTTGTGCCAGTTATTTTTCAGTTTAAATGTTGGTGGAAAATAAAAAGAGGACAGTGTGTTAAATTTGCACATCTATAGATCATACACTGCTCACTGGCCCTCTAGAATTGTCTGCTTCAAAAAAGGGGATGTCACTCTGCTGTGGAAGACTGTATTTGGTTGTTATGTCTCTTTAATCTCTTTTAACCTTAAATAGCCCCTATGACTATTTCAGTTTTCATTACATTGACTTTTTTGAAAGTCTGGTCCAGGTGTCTTGTAGAATGTCTCACATCCTGGATCTGTTTATGATTAAATTCAGTTTAAACATTTTCTAATAAGAATACTTCACAGGTAAGATTCCATCACATCAGGAGGCACATGTCACTACTGGTGATTCTAAGTTTGATCATTTGTTAAGATAGGGACCTCCAGACCACTTTATTGTAATGGTACACTTTTGTGGGCTGGTACTTCGAGACCACTTGGAATAGTCAGTTCCCTCACAACCTTTCGTTTAGTCAATTCCCTGAATCAATGATTACACTGAGAGTGACAAAATGATGATTTCTCAATTCTATTATGCATTTCTCATTTATTAACTGGCATTCTTTAGAGCTCTCTCCTCCCCCCACCTCCTGCCCATTTTTTAGATTATCACTATGGAGTCATGGAACTCTTTTTTAGAATAAATGCAATTCAGTTAAGTATCATCTGTGTCAAATATGTGTATGTATCTCATATATACATGAAAAAATACACTCACATATATGAAAAATATATATATATAAAATATACCCATAAACACATACTTGTGTGATCACAGACTATATCAAGAGGGATACACAAGAAAACCATGGTTGCCTCATGCAGCGGATACTGGGTGACAAGGATGAGAGGCAGACTTACTTTTCACTGTGCTCCTTTTTATACATTTTAACTATTATATCATTATTAACTATGCAATATGCTAATTAAATATTAAAAAATTATCTCAACAAATATTTGTATAATAGAAACATATTTCAAAACTCCAATTATTCCAATAAAATTCCAATTCAACAAAAGAAATCTGAACGTCCTACTAAGGTAGAGATTATGGGATAAGACTTCTGTCAACAGGGAAGATGGCCTAAGAAGGAACAAACTGCTCTTTCACAAAGAACAAACAGCTGGTAAGAATGCTGAGTCAAAGCTTCCTTGGTCAAGATCAGAGTCATCCTTGCAGGACTGAAGAGAGGAGAGAAGAAAGGAGTTCAATAATGGTTATTTATGTAATTACTAAATACTTCCCATCCAGTCCCTGACTGGATTCTGTCAGGTCAGTGTTGCTGACATTTTTGATGAGAAGAGAGGGAAGTTGGCAAGTAGGAGGGCCAACCTAGGCAGAATAGGCTCCTACTTCCTATTGCCTCTGAGTTTTTAGGCCTTTTGGCCTAAGATTACGACAGGGCAAGGATTTCTTTCTCTAAAAGAAAGTGCCGCTTTTCAAAATGCAGTTGTCAGGCCTAAAATGTACACCTACCTTCTGAATGCTTTCATCCACAAGTCCACCAAGGATGTAAACTTTGTTTAGATCAACATCTTCAAGAGCTAATGAAAAAATGAAGGCCACTGAGGTCAATCTGTTTTATAATTTCTAAATCCAAAGACTGTAAAAGGAAAGAATTATTAATAATAAAAGTAGAAATTTAATGAAATAGAAAACAAAAAGATAGATTTGCTAATTAGATTTGCTAATTCCCTGAAAAGATCAATTAAATGTCAATTAATTAGACATATCTAATCAAATATGCAGACTCAAATCACCATTAGGATTCAGAAAGGAGGCAAAATGTCAAAGGAAGATAAAATTCAAGAGAATACTGAGGTCAACTTAATACAATAAAATTGAAAATTATGTGAAATAGATGATTTTCTGGGAAAAAAATATTTATCTAACATCAATCTGAGAAGGGTCAATGTGAGGAGGTGACGAGGAAAACTCATGAGGATTACCAGGTAACTCACAAGCTCCAGCTGACGATGGAGACCCTAAATCTGTGCAGCTGTGTGCACATGGCAGGACAAATATGAAGCATTCAGTGAGGTCTCTGTCCATAAGAGGTGTGCAATTAACGTCCATTCCTTTTTTTTCTTGGATACACCTCGGGTGGCTTTAATAAACTCTGACCCCAGGAATAATGAAATAAAGGGCTGGATGCAATGTGCTACATGAATGCATGCAGTAAAGTACATACCATGTTCTGAGTCAGGAGTCAGGTACACAAGGGTTTCCAGAGGAAATAAACTAAAGCAGTCTTCTTCTGCTATGTCTAGCTGAAAAATGTAAACAATCCAATGTAGTGTGAACTAGGTTACGACACAGCCCACGCTGCAGCAACTAGTTACAGGGCATGTAGTTTCTATCAGGCATGGCTCCAGGTACATCAAGAGGATACATGTCTGACAACCTGTTCTCACAAAGTGCTCAGTTGGGTAGCGGAAGTAGAAAGGTACAGACATTCGACCCTACAAAATGCGACAGAAAGTGGTAATGAGGCCCTAAGAGACATACTGGGAGCATGCCCCAGGACTACAGAGAGGGATGACAACACCAGGGACAATGTTCTAGCAAAGGAAATGCTGGAACTGGGTTTCTGAAGAGGTGAGATTGACACACATACAAAAGGAAGAAGTATTCAAAGTGGAGGAAATCACCTAAGAAAAGCATGAAGACAGGAAAGCAAGGGGACTGAACTACGTGGCTCTTAGAGTGGATCTGTTTGGCTCACATACAGGAATCATAAAACACATACAGAAAAGTAAAGCTGGGAATGGCTGTGTTACAGGAGGGATCATTAAGGTAACAGCAACCATGACTGTGCAGCACCACATAGGGCACTTTTCACACTCGTTGCCTCAGAGGACCTCTCTGGAGAAGGCCACACTACCCAGTCTCAGCTACATAATGCAAACACACAAGGGCACTTTTAGTAGCACTTCTTAGGCACTGATCTGGATTCTTGCCTGTATGTCAATCACTACATTTAAGAGATCCTAGAGAAAGTATTGAAAGTAACTTAGTACTCCATAAAACTCATCTTAAATCCATATTACTTCCATAAGGATTCTCTCTTTCCCCCAAAATTTATGTTCCCTAATTCTGCACTACTAAGAACAAGAAAGGAATCATGGCATGTCCCTAAAACATTCCTGGTACATAGTCTAGCATACAATACACTGGATACAAAATACAGCCCTAGATACTGGTAATATTAGTTTGCCAATGCAGTGGAAGGATGAAAATTTTAAAACATAAGAACTGATGAGAGGTTCTAAATTTTTAAAGATTGTAATAATGAAAACATATAACATATACACATAAACATTTTTTTTACATTGAAATGTGAAAAAGTAAAAAATAATTTACTATTACCCCCTCCAACCTACTTTTCAGATGACAATCCAAATAATATGCAAAATGAGGCTTACCAGATAACTAGAAAATCCATCATTCATCCTCAAACACTCTTCATACAGGGGACTGTCTGTGGTGAATCCAGTGAGGCAGATCCAAAATGGCCTGTCAGCTTTTTTATTTGAGCCATACAACCTTCGGATCTGTCCAGCCAGTCTACTTAATTCCTTTGAAGAAGTAAGGACAATTTGTGGTAAGAACATGCCCACTCTTTCTAAATTCATTATCAACAAATGGTTACTCAGTAAGTTCACTGAATACTACTCTGGGAAAGCTCATGAATTCAATGGCCCTTTTACTCCAGGAGTGAGTACATGCATGTATGCACGTGTGTTACATCCCATGGTATCACACCTTATAGATGAAACTTAAGGTAATGATACTAGCCCAGAAAACCAAGACCTCTCCCTCCTTCTGGATCTGCTGATATATATGTATATATAAATATATACATATATATATATAAAATTTTTCTTTTAGCTTTTACCTAAAATCTTACCATGTGGGCTTCCCTGGTGGCAGAGTGGTTACGAATCCGCCTGCCAATGCAGGGGACACGGGTTCAAGCCCTGGTCAGGGAAGATCCCACATGCCGTGGAGCAACTAAGCCCGTGCGCCACAACTACTGAGCCTGCATTCTAGATCCTGTGAGCCACAACTACTGAGCCTGTGAGCCACAACTACTGAGTCCCACGCCTAGAGCCCATGCTCCGCAACAATAGAAGCCACTGCAATGAGAAGCCGCGCACTGCAATGAAGAGTAGCCCCCGCTCACTGCATCTAGAGAAAGCCCGTGCCCAGCAACGAAGACCCAATGCAGCCAAAAATAAATAAATAAAATAAATTTATATATATAAAAAAAATCTTACCATGTGATGGTTACTGTTTATCAAAAAGAGATTAGATTACTGTACAGACGTTTTTATACTCCATCAGTTAAACTTGGCACCTTCTCCCTAACTTCAGGAGCTGTCACAGGTTTGGAAGTTTTAACTTTCCATTCTGATTCATTAGAGATATCACCCGTATAGAAAGGTAGTTTCACAATCTGGCCTGATTTGGTTCAGTACAGGAAAAAAAAAAAGCTTTGGATTTGATTTAACCTGATATCTCAATTAATATAAACATTAGAAAATTCTTAGTTGACCTTTTCAGAGGACTATAGTTAGAGGTTCCATGGAAGAATCCTAGATCCTAATTTCTCTGAAAAACATGCAAACACTAGCATGTATAACAGGGACGTTGGAAAACACAGATTTCTTTTGTGGTGTAAGGCCTAAAATCAAGGCCCAATATTGTGTGCCGCTTTGATATCTGGTGAAAATAAGAGGCCTTGAATGGCCTAACTGCAAGTTCCCCTCCCAATTCTGCTCCCATGGATAAGGTTCACTAGCTAAACAATTTTTTTTTTTTTTATCAAAGGGATTCCTTTGATAAAGGGTTCCTGCTATCCCTGCGTAGTGGGTTTCAATTCTCTGCCAGCCCATGGAATTATTACAGCAAACCAATCACATCTTCCTGTAGGAATCTAATTTCTTGATACTACAAAACCTACCCCCCACGGCCCCTGGTTGTTCATTCTGTTCCTGAGTGCAATCCCATGTGGCCCTGCATGATGTCCAGTGTCATCCTCCCCTCGGGCTGAGTATATGTGACCAATAAACTGCTACAGATCTTATCTGTCCAGTGTCGAGTGTTGTGTGTTCAGCCATCCCCAGAATCATAGGGTGAAAAATCCCTCCTTCACCGACAGGGTAAATGGGCAGCTTTTAAAACACACACATTGTAGAAAGACCTCCCACCAGGTAATCTCCCCACAACATGCAACCAGGCGAATATTCTTCTCCCTGGCAGAAGGCCAAAGATTTCATCTCTGGAGAATTCAACCTGAAAGGCTCCATCTAGACTGGGGATACCATAAGCACAGAGGCAAAGGCAGTGGGCTCAAAACAGAAGATAAAGGAAAAAATTTTAAACTAAACCATATGTCTATTCTCTTCCTGATTCTTTACAACAGCCATCTCAGAACTTAGTAGCCATGTGTAGAAAACTAAACACATTTGCTGGTTTACCAGAGAATCATAGAAGCTGGAGCTGGTCATGTTCTTTGTGAAAGCTGTTCCCACCTGGACCTCCCTCAGGTGAGCAGGAATTCAGAGTTCAGTGGATGTTTTACCTTCTTAGACATGTGGTGGGTCATACTCAAATCGATGCAGAGTCTTGGTCCTGAGTGTTTGGCTTCCAAAAGTCTTTCCTTGGTTAAGGATCTCAGAAAACGTTTGCTGTGCTGGGGGTAGATGCCTAGAGTAGAAATATCAGAAAGGAATAAACATGGAAAAACTAAAAATGTTATTCAGTAAGAAATAAATCTCCCCAGCCAGGTGAGTAATTTTTGCATATGAAGAGAAACTGGAAGCTCATGCAAGGTATTCATTCATTAGGCAGTTTAGGTATAGCAGAACGGTGAAATGAGTGCTCTGGAGCACACTGCTGGATCTAAGAGTTCAGTTTGTTCATTTATTACCTATATGATCTTGGGCATGTTATTTAATTTCTTTGAGCCTCAATCCCTTCACCTAGATAATGAGGATAATAAAAGTGCTTACCCTTATGGTAATCATGTAAAATTCTTAGCACTGAACCTAGCACACAGTACTGAATAAACATTGGCTGTTGTTATCATTCTTTCTACTTCTGAGCTTATAAACACATACACACACTAGACAGCTTATATTTGAAAGGCAGCCTCAAATGTTGCTCTCTTTGATACTTTGATTCCCAACAAAATAGGCTAATAGGTCCTATCTCCCAGATGTTTGTTTTACTTAAAAACACTATCCCTAACTCTCCTAGGAACAGGCAGATACCAGTTTGCTAAGAAATAAATATAATTACACCAGCAATCTGATTTATTGTTACCTGAATTTTCTACACGATTGGCTTTTCTTCTTTCTTTCTCTTGTCTTCTTTTACTCTTCTTTGCTGCAACTATCTTTTCCCAGTGTCTCTGTTTTCTTTGGACATTTTTCTTATGTTATCCAGAAAACAAAATTGTTTGAGAACTTCATAAGCACCAAAAAGGAAAATGAATATTAGAAACAGTTACTTAATTATTTTTTAAATTTAGATTAAAGTTAGGAGAGAAAAAGGGTATTAGTCTTAAAAACAAAAATGGGAGGGAAGAGATATAGGAACATATGTATATGTATAACTGATTCACTTTGTTATAAAGCAGAAACTAACACACCATTGTAAAGCAATTATACTCCAATAAAGATGTTAAAAAAAAAAAAAAAGGACTAGATTGCGTTTAGAGAAAGCAGAACCCCAGAAAAGAGATGTGACATGCCCAGGTCACAGTAAATTTATTAGGGACAGGGTTGAGATTTCCTGACCCTTCTGAGGTGTACAAAAATTCCTCTTAACTTTACTTACTTTTTCTATCACTCAAATGGAACTGAAACCTTAAGCCAGGAAACTCATCCCTGGGAATACACCTAACTCATTCCCAGTCTTTTTTTCACCAATATCTATCCTTAGAACAGGGGTCTCTGGAACATTCCATCGTCTCAAAGCCCATGACCATAAACAATCCATTCCACTCACCGAGCGCCACACTGCATTGCTTGTAGGCAGGGTCATCTCCTCTCGATGCTCACATTCCATGTCAATCTGTAGAAGCTGGAAGCTTTCAGAGATGCCATCTTCACCTGTGTCCTCTAGGGTGACTTCTTGCTCCTGCAGCACGTGTGACTCTGTTTTCTGAGCGCTCCCTTCTAACTTCCAGTCCATGTGCTTAGTCCTCTGTCCTTTTCACCCAGATTAGGAAAAGGCACAATTATGTGAGACATTACATTATTTAACTTGCAGAGGTATTTCCCTATATCCAAATGACAAACAGGGTTACTGCATTACTGAAGGAGTAGAAGTGTGTAAAATACTAACACAGATTAACTGAACTGAGAAAAGCATGTGTGTCTTCTAGAGAAATAAGTCAGCACAGAAACCTTTCAGTAGTAAGGAAGCCAAATTCACTTCTTAGAAGACAAGCACAACTCCTGACAACCCCAAGAAATCAAAGATTATTCGCTGCTGCAGTGACACAGATAATGAGTTCATTTACTGTATTCTTTGAAATGCACCTATGAGTTGAGGGCGAGACAAAGATGGCAAAATCCACCTATCCCATTATGTTTCTGTTTATTTTCAAAACCATTCCTTTAGCAAATATTTACTGAGCACCTACTCTATGCAAAGTCCTGTACTAGAAACATCCTGGGAGGTTTAGAGCTAGCCAAAAATTATGGTGAAGAGCGGCCCAAAACCAACCAAGAATTCTAGGTTGCACATATTCCCTCCTCCAACTCAGTATCACTGCAGCAGAAAGCCACAGTCATAGTGGAAACGGCTAATATCCATCAGAAGTGCCGAGGTAGAAAAATATGAAGAACCATTGTTACAACACACTTAACTAATGTAATAATTTCAAAGTGGTGTTCAAAATCCTTGAGGAAGATACGACTAAGAAGTGTTCTAGTCTACAGCTAAGTGTCACAAAGAATGGTATAACCATTGCTCATGGCTGCTCCTCTGAGCCTAGTGTGCTACCTACGTATGAGGAAAAGTGTATCGTTGAAAAAGTAAATTATGTAATATGATCCACGCACATGGTAAAAAGACTTAGTTGTAAGAAAAGTAATGATCAATTCTCTGACCCCTTCCACCTCTGGGGGTGGGGGTGGGGGGAGTGGGGCAACGCTTGTTAACCAGCTGTTTTCAGTTCTGGTAATTTACTCCTTAACCTGAAATCATATGCTTACACCATTACTTCCTGATTCATCAACTTTCCCTATGAAACACTAAAATTCAAATCACTTTAATTAGCCCCTTTTATTTTTAGCTCTTCTCTTAGTTACCTTGACCTTTAAATTCTTTTGAGGTATAGTTTGTACACAATAAAATGCCAAGATTTTAAAGGGTGTAGCTCAACAAGTTTGTGTGTTGGAAGGGATGGTGCGGAGAGGTTTGAAGGGGTGGGAAGTGAGGGATGGGAATATACAAGCTCAATGAGTTTTTGACAAGTGCGTAGGGCCTGTATTACCCACACCCCATCAAGATATAGAACATTTCCATCACTCCAGAAAGTTCCCTTCCTTCTGCACTTTCCAAGTCAATCTCCATCCCATTCTCACTGCTTTCCAAATGCAATCATTGCTCTTTTTTCTATAACCATAGATTAGCTGTGCCTTACGTTATTTAAATGGACTCAAACAGTGTGTACTCTTTTGAACTTGGCATTTTGCCCCACAACTTGTTTTTGAGATTCATATATATTGCTTCATGTATCAGTAGTTTGTTCCTTTTTATTGCTGAGCAGTACTCCACACATGAATATACCACAATTTGTTTATTCTCCTGTTGATAGACATTTGAGATTTTTCCAGTTTGTGGCTTTTACGAATAAAGCGGCCAAGAAATTCTCATACAAGCGTTTTTGTGGACATATGTTTTCATATCTGTTGGCTAAGTACTAACAGAATTGCTGGGTCATAGGATGGGTGCTATTTAACTCCTAAGAAACTGCCATCAATTTCCCAGAATGATTGTAACATTACACACTGCTGTCAGCAGTCTGTGAGAGTTCCAGATGGTCTGCATCATCCCCAACATTTGCTGTTGTCAGGGTTCTTAATTTTAACCATTTTTGTGTAGTAGAACCTCACTGTTTTAATTTGCATTTGTTTGATTATTAATGATATTGAGCTTTTTTTTCATGCAACTTATTGGTAATTCATAATATATCTCTGTGAGATACCTGTTCAAGCTGATGACATTGAAATTAAAATGGAGTAATAGTTCAGGAATACAAAAATGGGGTTGGGTGGCCATTGAAGATCTGGTCTCAGGCACGGCTGCATCACTGAGAACTTGAACTTTCTCTGAACTGTACCACACCCAAGGACACCATCAGTCATGCTCTAACACCAGCCAGCTGCAATATTACAGTCTCAAGGTCTCCCCTTGTAACTATGCAACCATTTCAGACCCCAACTAATCCTTCCTTAATAAGCACCCTTACTTCTTGCCACCTCCAATTATAATTCTTGATAAATAACTCATGTAACTAACTGTAACCTTGCAGTTTTTGCCTTTATAAGCTTGCCCCATTTTGTAGCCTGGAGGAACACAATTCAAGTGCTTCTTGAATCTGTGTCTCCCATGCTATAGTCCTCAATGTGGCTAGAATAAAACTCTCTTCTATTCCTATTATAGATTGTTTACTGATTATTTGTCTGGACACTTACAATGGCCTATATTGATAATTAATGATCATCCATTGTTCTCTGCATTATCCGGTCTACTTGCTGTTGCTGTTCCTTAAACATACCAAGGATGTTCCCACCTTAGCGCCTTTGCACTTGCTGGTCTTTCTACCTCAATCCTATTCTCCTAGATAATTATATGACTACCTTCCTCACTTCATTCAGATTTTCATTAACCAACATGGCACACTTTTTACTTATTTTTCTTGTCTGAATTTTCCCCTTCCTATAATGTAAGCAAGTGTTCTGTCTGCTTCATTCACTACATCCTCAGTGCCTGGCAACGAGCTTCGTACATAACAGACGCTCAATAAAGACTTGCTGAATTAATAAATCCTCCACTCCACCATCTCTGCGTTGACAGAGGCCTCAGAACTTTTTTCTAACCCAAGTCCCACCTGATGAGCATATCCCTGGGCGCTAAGTGATGGAGACTTCTCTCATCTCCTCGTTCTAAGTTTTAGCCACCAAAGCCGGCTGCACTCCTCGGTCACCTTCAGCACTAGAACACCCTGACCCCAATCTCGAGTGTACACCGCGTGCAGGCCCAGTCTGGTCCATAAGCTGCGAGTACGACGGGAAGCAGGAAGGAACAGCGCCAGGAAGGTGGGGGACATGAGACCACACGACTGCTGGGCGGGCGCCTGCTCCCCAGGCGCCTGTCTGCCCTGCCCGCGAACGAGGCGGCATTTCCTGTCCGGACCCCCAGCCCCCACCCCTGCCGGCAACGAGGCCCCGGCGTACCTGAACCCGTCACCTCACGCAGCAGCAGAGAAACCCACCAAGACCCACCTCCGACTTCACTTCCGGTTCCTGCCCCTCTCCGAGTAGCATTCTGGGAGTTGTCGTTTTCAGCCCAGCGGCTGTGTGTTCCGCGAAGACTTGGGCTTCGGCTGCCGTGCCCACGGTAGTACTAAGGAGCTGCGTCCCGCCAGAAGGTTGCCGCGCCTCACTGAGCCTCCGTTTCCTCGCATGTTAGCTGGGCATACAATCCCAACCGCTCGCCGACCTCACAGGGCTGCTGCAGGTGACCAGGCGCTTTGATGGCTGTCAAGGGCTGGACACGGCGAAGGTGGGCTGAAACCAGACTCGAACCACCCCTCATCTCGCAACCTGGGAGCCTTGCCTTGCCCTGGTCTCCCTGGGCTTCCCCACAACCAGAAGAGCCCACGAGCTGACATAGTTCCCCTCACCACTAGCTGGCTATCCAGGATCATAACAGATATCCCGGCTTGGGCAGATCACGAATTAGTCTAGCCTCTGGCCACTCTCCCTCCTCTTTCTCGCCTCACAAATCCACGGGGAAACTTGAGTCTCAGAGACCTGAAGCGACTTGTCCAAGCCTTGGCCTGATAAAAGCTATCAACCACTCTTCCCTTTATTCCTGCAGTCCTAGGGGTCTCATGCTTTCGAGGGACCCTACCATGAATGAACCTGAAACACCTCCTGCCCAAGAAACCACAGCCTTGTTGGATCCGTCCTTGGCCTCACGGTTCCCCTCAGGACTTTTCTTTCCACAGCTTCTCCAGCACCTCCCACCCCATCCCCAGTCCATGCTTTAACCCATCCTTTATAATCTGCTACTGGAGCAACTTGTAAAATACTAAAACTAAACATGCTTTCTTCCTCAAAGGGCTTTTTCGGAAACCCAGCTGTCTTCTCTGCTCAGAAGCTGGCCTTGGCTTTCCACTCAGCAGGACTTGCAAAGTGGCTCAGATGGTCTTCAGTTGCTCCCACCACACCTTCCAGTCCCTGCACCTTGCACTCAGCTGTACCGAATACCTTTCATCCCTCCCTGCCACTGCTCTGGTGTCTCTTCACTTTTCAATGAGCTCATGAAGCTCATTCAAAAGTGGGGCTTTTCCCCACAGAAAGGCCACCTAGCTGGTATCACTGCCCAGCCCCCTCCGGCGTCCATCCATTTGCCGAATGATTATGTGTCTCCCTTACTCCAAACCCCTCAGTGGTTTCCCATTGTAATTGGATGTAAAATCTAACCTCCCCAAGGCCTTGCATGGCCTGGTTCCTGGCTGACCCTCCGACCTCATCTATCACTCTTCCTCCAGCTTACTGTGTTCCAGTCACACCCATCTTCTTGAAATGCTTTAAACACAACAAAAGCCTTTGCAGTTACTGTTCCCTTTTCTCTCACTTTTTACATGGCTGGCTCCTTCTTACCCTTTAAGCTTCTGCTTAAACCTTCCCTCTTCAGAGAGGCCTTTACTGACCACCCCGCGCCCCCAGGGAAGATTGGCTCATCCCAGCCCCATCTTGGCACTCTTCGTTTTCTTTATTTCAATCTTCACCTATCAGTAATCTTTTTTTTTTTCCTATGTCTTCCCTGCTGATTATAAGTTCCTCGAGGGGACTTACATCTATCATGTTAGTGATTGTATTCCCGGTGCCAATGCAGTAAATATTTGTCAACAGGATAAACAAACAAGGGATTTTTCTCCCTTCTTGAGAAAAACTTACCTTCCTATCTACCAAAATCAAAACCTGACACACAATAGCTACTCAATCAATACTTTTTTTAAAAACAAAACTACTTTATTTTTATAAATTTATTTATTTATTTTTGGCTGTGTTGGGTCTTCCTTGCTGCATGTGGGTTTTCTCTAGTTGCAGAGAGCAGGGGCTACTCTTCCTTGCGGTGCGCGGGCTTCTCATCGTGGTGGCTTCCCTTGTTGCGGAGCACGGGCTCCAGGCGCGCGGGCTTCAGTAGTTGTGGCTCACAGTCTCAGTAGTTGTGGATCATGGGCTCTAGAGCGCAGGCTCAGTAGTTGTGGTGCACGGGCTTAGTTGCTCCATGGCATGTGGGATCTTCCCAGATCAGGGCTCGAACCCGTGTCCCCTGCATTGGCAGGCGGATTCTTATCCACTGCGCCACCAGGGAAGTCCCCAATCAACACTTCTTGACATACTAGTTCTAATTAATGCTGCCTCCTACAGGAAGCCTTCCCTGATCACCACTCCCCCCAACACCCCCAAATTACTTCTCTCCTCTGAGCTCTTACAGCACCTTATCTGTTCTCTTTGGTAGTCCTGAGCACACCATGCCTTAGGTAGGTCTCTATCTCTACATGTCATCTTACCTCTCGGACCAGGAGCCCTTGCAGATAAGATTCTCACCCAACTATTTACATCCATAATCCTACATCAGGCACCCTGGCATGGGTGTACCATAAATGTTTGTTTAAAGAAATAAATCCGCCAATATGTTGGTGGGTGGAAAAATGAAGGAGTGTAAATATCCAGTCGTTTCTCAGTCATTAAACAATTGATTCCTGTGTTGGGGAGTAGGCAGTCCTGTCCTGCTTTCATGTAGGGAGCTGTGTATCTCAGAGAAAGTGCTAAACATGGCAAACCCCCTGTATTTTAGCTTCTCAACAAGCGATGAGGGGTTGCTTCAGAACTTCTGGGACTTAGTACACCTCATGGAGGCTCAGAGCAAAAATGCTGGCTCCATACAGTAGCAACCCAAGGAAGCTAACGGATTTGAGGGGAGAGGAAGCAAAGGAAGAAGGAAACAAAACATCTGAGTGCCTGTGCCTGAGGCTTCACAGTCTCCATCCTGCCTTCCATGAGAATTTATTTCTCACAATAATGCTGAATGTGTATTATATAACAATCTCTAGTTTGGGTGTTGTGTTGATAAGAAAATGTATTCAAGTTATCCAAATAAGGCATCTGGCACATTGTAGGCCATCACTAAATGAGACTAGTGTTATTTCCTTTTGTCATTTGGGGAAAATGAGGCTCAGAGAAGCACCTATAACAACACTGCCAGGATTCAAGCTCTGATTGCGTTGAAGTCCTGAGCTCCTTCCCTAAGTTTGTGAACACAGTAAAAGTATTCAAGTCCTGTTTAGCATCATACAATTTTTAGTATTTGGGTGTCCTATTGTTCCTATTTTCCATTGTCATGAAATCACTTTAAATCTATTTTCAAGAGCCTTATTTAAATTTTATTCAAAGTATTCTGTGAAAAGAAAGAGGCCTTTAAGAAAATAAATCTTTTCCTGGCACTAGTACTGGTTAACTGGCTACTAAGTAACTGGTAACAGGGGATGGGTAGATTCTCTTCTCTTCTCCCCAAATATTGCTTTCCTTCTGATTGGCAAGAGCTTGGGTATGTCACTTAACACCCTCACCTTTGCCCTGCTTTTGCTGGGTGAAGGAGAGAAATTAGGGAACCTTAGAGGAGACAAATTGCAGAGGAAGCACTGAGCCCACAACTGATCAGGAGCCCCAGGAGGACCGCTTGAGTAAACTCTGATAGCCCAAAGTGAGTGTCTAAACCACCTTTTGCCTGGACAGAAAAGCCAGGGGAAAAAGACCTCCCAAGGCTGTCTTCAGGTCAGTTTTCCTGGAGTCTGAAAACAAAATGCAAGGAAGGGTTTCATACTAGGAGAAGAATCCATAAACTTTGGGGATTATTACTAACTTTTTTTGAGTATTTACTAGATTTCTACCCTACAAAGCAGACACTAGTATCCCCAATATTCAGAAGAGAAAACCAAAGCACTGAGAGGTTAAGTAGCATGTCCGACCAAGGTCCCACCAAGATTAACAGGGATTAAATGGCTCTACTGGAATTAGTGAGAAAGGTTCTGAATATATTTCTTTTGCTCTAATATTATTCTTAAAAAGGCAAATCTAATTCAGGGTTTTAATGTTTGCCTTTTTAGATATTTAAAACGGATAGAGGGTGGAGTCAATTTCAGGTAACACACAGAGCACACACCTGGATATGGGGGGCCAGGCAACTAAGGTGCTTACTGCCACCTAGTGGCAACCTATGCTTATCGCAGCGAGGCCGCCAAGAATACCAGGCCTCCAGGCGCAGGTGCTGCAAACCAAAACTTGTGAAGGTGGAATCTATCAAATATCCCAAGTATTCACTCCTATTTGCAGAGGTTATTGCCAAATCAGTGTGATGTGAGAAGTCAAGACAATTTTTCAGTGGCTCCACCTTCCTCCCTCATCCCTGCCTTCTTGGGACAGTTTGTGGCTTCTTGCTTCCACACTCGCAGGGTATGCTCCTCCTAGGGTACACACATTACTGATGGCAATCTGCTTATCTGTACCCACCCAGAGGGGCTGTGAGCATCCTGGCCAGGGGCAGAGGCTTGTCTTACTCATCTTTATGAATAAGCCAGTGAATGTTTGTTGAACAAATATGAGCGGATGCTTTTGGCCCAAACTTGTCATCACTCTGTATGATTCAGGCAAAGATTAAGCAGCAGTTTATTTGAAGACTCTAAATAATAAACATTTGAGAGGGGTGGGCAGAGGAATGGTAGGAGCTGCTCAGGGAAGTGTCCAGGGCAGGGCAGGGGGTCTGGCCAACTGGCCCTCTCACAGGGCAGTGGAGAACCAGAACTTCTGGGTCAAACAGAATACAGCAGCTGTGAGGGCCGTACACTGACGGGCCAAGAGTTTCACACTCAGGTCATGGTAGCCTCTCTCGCAGGTGAGCTTAGCGGCCTCCACAAACTGGTGGTAGGTGTACACCACATCCCTCAGGTTCCCCGCTGCCTCTCTGTGTCGGGTGGAGCAGCGGCTGCAGGCTGTGAACTGGAAGCACAGGCTGGCCAGCTGGACCAGGTGCTGGAAGGTGTCGCGCACAGCACCCTGCATCTCCTCGGGGGACTGGTCCATTCTGATCACGTGCTGACAGCTCAACAGGAGCTTTTGGGAGCCCATGCAAAGGCGGCTCCGGCTTTCAGAAAAGTGCCAGGTGCACTTCTCGGGAGGGTGCGTGTTCCCATTTCCCCAGGAAGCTTC